GTAATTTAAACATTTATAATAGAAACAACAAATAATTGTAAAATTAATATTTATAATTAGTATTTAGTAGGGTTTCCCTTTAACTTTATTATTGCAACCAGTCTTCTAGGTATTGAGAAATTAGATGTGATTTTATTAGTGATATTGTTTCATTCGTTGATTGAACCTTGAAATGAAATTGTATGTTTTCGAATTGCTCGTTCCAGATAATCCCACAAATGTTCAATAGAGTTAATATCTGGTGATTGTGGGGGTGTTTTTAAATGTGCTGGCATATTATATGCAATCCACAAATATCATGTGAATGAAAGGATTATCTGGAACGAGCAATTCGAAAACATATTAATTGCATCTAAAACAAACTTAACAAATGCAAATAAAATCACATCTAATTTGGTTAATTCAATACCTGGAAGGCTGGCTGCAATAATAAGGAATCGCAATCAAAAGAAAACTCTACCAAATGCTAATTATAAATATTAATTTTACAATTATTTGTTGTTTCTATTATAAATGTTTAAATTACTTGTACACTTGATAATGACAATAGAACTGTACGAATATTTATTATGTGTTCATTTCTGTCATTTTGTTCAATTTTCTTGATATTTATACGTATAAACAATATGAATTTTTTTTGTTTATTTGATATTGTTGTTTTACAGACTTTGGAGAATAGATGTATCATATTTGTTTAAAAAATATTGTCCAATAAATATTATTATTCAGTATTTTAGTCGTGATTAGTCACTGTACGAATACTTTTTACACCCATTGTATATTATATGCGATTTATTGAAAGCACTTGTTATGTTTTTGTATATACAGAGTGTCCCATTTGAAATGTCTCATACAATTATCTTCTAAACTATTTATTATAGAAAAAAATGTTTCAAGTAAAATTTACTTTGTTTTGAAGAGGATATCTCATGGTGGTCATAAATTTTGATCTAAGCGGACGTACTTCTGAGATTTAAAAACAACCTTTGTTTTTTAAATGAAACTATGTATTTTTTTTCATGGCCCGTTCCATGATGTATTTATTGATCTATGTGAAACATTAGAAAGGATGCACCAATGTAATTCAGTACATTGACGCTTGAAGTCACCATTTCGAACATGAAAGATAAGGCAATAATTTCTTGATATGTCTAATGCTTGGTAACTTGAAAACAAACAACCTTGAATAACATTAAAATACTAACATATATAGGTTGATAGACCTATGCAACACAATTCGTCACAGAATGGGATACATCATATCACTCTGAAAAAAAATATATAGTTTCATTAAAAAAAAAAAAATGAAGATCACCTTGAAATCTCGAAAGACTAAGATTGAAATCTTGAACTTAGATCAAGATTTGTGACCACCATAAGGACGACCTTGAAACAAAATAAATTTTACTTAAAACATTTTTTCCTACATTAAGTATTTTAGGAAATAATTACGTGGGACATTCAAATGGAACATCCTGTACATATAATTTGTTCTATTTTATTGTTTTTTGTAATTTCAAAAATAATGTAGTTATAATGAATAGTATTTAGATAATATATTATATGTGCTACAGTCAATCTTGAAAGTCTACATTCATTTCTTTTATTTTTAATATTCTGTATTTATCGTAGATAATGCAATTACAAAATTACACGTGTACTTTTTGATACTTCGTTGTGTAAAGAATTATTTCATTTCTCCAATTTTGAAATAAATACTAATACTAAAACTATTGAGCGAGGTTGTACATTTGTAAACTTCAAATACGAAAAATTATGATTCTGATTTATTTATTAATCAGACTTCTATAGATTAAAAATTCTATAGGAAAAATTCTATAGATAAATCGAAATAAAAAAACAATATAATATACAATATGTATTTCTATTATTACTACAATTATACAGAATAAATTTTGTTATATGATATTATATAAATATTTTGTTATATGATATTATAGGAATATAGATTTCCATAAAATCGTGTTTTCAATTTATCTACATGTTTATTTAAACAAATGTAAACATTGTAAATATTTTAGAATTAGTTTAATTTTAACTAAATTAATGATGGTCCAAAATGTTCAAAACTCTTTTTTTTTCTCTTTTAAATATTTGAAATCTTACAGATGTAAACTGTAACTATGATTGACTATATCATTATTTCTACGTTATTTTAATTACAATAATGTTATTGTAATTACAATAACGGTAATTTAATTACAATAACGTGTACGCCATATTACATATATGTAAAAATATAGCACGAAATAATAGAAATAAAACGTAGAAATCATTAATTAAGTATTAAAGAAACTATTTCCTGACATACTCCAGTTATCGTAGAAATCGAGCTACTTCTTGCAGTACCCGCAGGAGCAGAGACAATTGATGCCCTATGTTGGTATCTCTGTTGAGTCTGTTGATTTTGCTGATCTTGTTGATTTTGTTGAAGAAGTTGTATTAATGAACTATCAGTTTCAAGTCCCTTTTTAGATTGTTTCTCTTTCTGTTCTTTGCTTATTTTACTTTCGGTTTTTTCAATGGGTGTTGCTTCTGACGTTGTAAGACTTTCTACGTCTGCTCTTTCCTCTGCTTCCTTTGATGCTTCAGACTCGAGTTGCTTGTAGATAAACTGTCCGTCTGATAGTTTGGAAAATAATTACATCAAAACATTACAACAGAGCTCTCTTTATAAAGTTATATGACAAATGATATGGGTAATTATCTAAAAAAAAAGTGACCTTCACCGATTTGAGTGGCTTTGAAATGCAACCGTCGCTTTCTTTTAATATTCGTAAAAATATTATTATTATTATTATTATTATCATCATTTATATTTATTTATTTTTAAGTTGCATTAACAATTATTAGCGGCCACTACCTGGGTCGAAAAATTACGACTAAGACTAATTTTGTTTATTATACTAATAAAAGTAAAATGTTACATATTTCAAAGACTTAAGAAGACTAGCAGATATAAAGAACTTTAATGTATTCTTGATGTATCTGGGATCATTTAGGTTCAATCATAAATCTTTTTTGATGTCAAAGCTATTGCATATTTAGGGCAGACTAACAATAGCATTTGAGTCATTAGAAAAAGGACTTCGATGGTTTGAGGCACAACAGTATGTAATGTAATTCTACGCAGCTGCTTATAATAAAAAATTTATGTGACTTGGCGGCTAAAAAGATATGAAACCCTTAGATGTTGAAAGAAACTGTCAATTTTGTTCTATTTGAATAAATGAAGTTTGATGCAAAAGAAAGTGATTGTTCTATTATGCGAAAATTCCACTATTCGGCCACTTCTGTCTCCCTATTAATTCGGATACGTTGAATTGATGGCGTTAAATCACAAATAGAAATCCGGAACTGATGAGTTAAATTAGAATGACCAATGTGGATCCGAAATAACGTATATACATATGTATTATTATTTATGATGACTAATCTATGTGATAAATCATTTTGAATGAACACGGATTTAGATAATGTACTATTGAATTTAACTCTGAAAAGACTATTAGAAAGTATGTTAATTATAAATGCAATGACGTTGTGGCCTATATCAAATTTCTGTAAAAGATGAACGGTTTTTGTTCTTCAATCTCTTACGTCTTCTTAATATCAAAGCTACCATAAAATGTTCATTATTTGCAAAGGCTCTGCAGATTGAAGAATATAAATTAGTTCATCGTTGATCGAAACTGAATCTATTTTGAATGTTGGAAAGAAAGTTTTTCAATTCTAATTTCCAAAATTAGTTTAACATTTATCATTTTTTCTAAAATCTTAAGAATTTCTTAAATTTCTCGAAGAGTCTCGGCTAATTTTATTTATTATTTATTACTCATTCTACTTATTATTTGTTATTTATTACTGAAAGGACAAGATTTAAGCTTCAAGACGTAAAAAATTTTTTAGAGGATATTTGTGGATGGATGAATTTATAGTAAAAAAATTATTCATAATATGCGTACTAACAAATTTGTTATGTAAATTGCTCATTCGCAAATGTCCACAAAAAATTTTTATACCATTTAGAAGTTAAAATTTTCTGCAATGATTTGATAGTTGCAAACTTATACTTGGGATTCACTGAAAAGTTTAAAAAACTTTCCCTATCACACAAGCTGCAACAAACATGCAGTCCGCTATGAATATTTAATTATAAAACATATTCCGCAAATATTAATTAATTTATTTATATTTATATTAAATAGTTAATTTCTGTTAATACTGTTTTGTAGTTAAAAATTTTAACTGGGAATCACGTCGGGAAGTACGAAAAAATCTTTTTCAGTTATCTATTATCCAGCGACGCGACCAGCTAGATCAACCGAATGTGTGTGAATGTGTGTGTATTACATGAACATATAGAAAAAAATTGCTCAGAATCACGTCCCCGATAATATATTTTGAGTTTATTAAAATCAATGGAGTGTACCTCTCTATAAATAATTACCGTGATAGTTTAACTTCTATAACATCGTGTAATTTCAAAATTGCATTTCTGATGCCGTTGTTTAAAAAAATATTCAAACACTTTTAAGAACTTTTTATGAATATATATATATATATATATATATATATATATATATATATATATGTATATATATATATATATATATAATTATAACTGTATGTTATTTAATATACAATCAATGTATATTGTATATTAATACATTACATCACATAAGTAAATACATTATATGCATTTAATATACAAATACAATTATACATTTTACATGCTATATAAAAAATTTTAAAATTTTATTAACAAAAATAAGATTCAATTAGTATGATTTATCCGTTTGAAGAAACATTACATAACTACATTACATAACAAATCATTACATAACTGCATCAATAAACCTAATTATTTATTTATTATTATATTTTTAAGATAGCTATTCATTTTTTTATTTTTTACTAAATATAAACTTGCAATAAATATTTTATGACTTTTATATATATTTTCAAATTGGTTTTATATTTCACCAATATAATCGTAATAATTATTTCTCATTATAGTGTTAATGAATTTTCAAAATGTTTTACGTAACACACACACAATATATATATACTTGCATAAAAAATCTTTTATGGTGAAGATTTTTGCAACTAGTTATATATGCATATTCATATTTTCAAAAGTCTTATTTTGTTTACATATTATTTCATTACTGTATTTCATCTATATCATCACCAAACGTTTTATTTATGATAATTATTAGATAACTAATAAAACCAATAAAATTCTTGGGAATTAATAGTAGTATTATACTATTAATATACTATTATTAATATACTATTAATAATAGTATTAGATAATTACAAATTTTTAATTGAAATAAATAGTTACAATTAATTGATAATTTTTATTTAATTTTTTAAAAATTCAATTTCAAAATTTTCAAATTCAAACAATTTATAATACTAGCTCATATTTTTAATACTAAAAATATACAGTTAATTTTAAAAAATTTAATTTTTTCTTCCAAATAAACAAAATTCTCATGATTAACTTACCTTCTTTTGAAAGATCAGTTGCCGCTGATGTATCCGTTTCTTCGGAAGTATTACGTGAGTAAGTACCATTTTGTAGACTTCGATCCAATCCAGAACCTGATCCGGAACCAGTTGATCCAACCAATGTAACAGAACTAAGATTACTTGGAGAGGAAGGTGCACTTACTACTGTATTATCTGAAATTGTAATTTACTTATTAACGTCAAGTAATATATAGTGAAAAAATTTTTTCAAATAATGTACAAATAATATCTTTTGAATAATATATTTTGTACATTGAATCATAGTGTCTGAATTATTGAATCATTGAATCAATGATCGGATATTAATGGAAGTATAATAAATTGGAAAATATAAATAACAAGAATTAATAATACTGCATGCATAAATTGGTGCGATAAAATTATTTAAACACATATTTATATAATACAAAAAATTTTAAATACTACTACTAATATAATAACAACAACAACAACAATAATAATATTACATTGTTAATATTCATAAAAGCGTTGTTGTTAGTAATGTACAACAACATTATATTGTTAATATTTATAAAAGCTTTGTTATTAGTAATCATCCACGTTTCGAAATAAATTTTGTAAGAAAAGGAAACGAATTTCATAAATTCGCAGCTATTCTATGGTTTTTCATTCCTTGAAAAACCCTAATTTCCCTTCGAAATGTTACCTTACCCGTGAGAGTCTCAGAACTCGACGAAACAGCAATGACTTTTGGTATTGTTAAATGACGGCCATCGTTTTCTTTATCTTTTTCTTTGTCCACGCGAATATTGATTTTTCGTGGCGTTGCAGGGAAATGAGTGTCAACGGACACAGTGGACGATTGAATAGTAGGACTTCGTTTTATAATTGAAGGTGTCTCCGAAATCAAACTTAGTTGTTGCTCGTCGTCTACTAAAATAACGAGAACTGTAATTATTTTTAGCAGTACGAATTAGTAAAAATCATAGAATAATTTTAACACATATTGTACGATGTTAACAGTGGAAATTAATTATATATTTATTAATTTAAAGAAATTGAGGTATATTTGAATCGTTATTAAGGATAGTTGTTTATTATTAAATGTTAATAATAGAATTATTACAAAATACGATTTGAATTGCAAGTAAATTGTTCGAATAAAACAGAAAATGTAATAGTTTTTTTAAAACTAGATATAGGCACAGACGAGGTATATGAATATAAACCGGACATTAAATGGAGCTTTGTGTCTTAAGGTCATACCAATCAGTAAAAAACATCACTGATTTTTTAGCGCACTCGATGGTTAAACAACGGTAAATTTGAGAACTACGTTCAACAAAATGATATAAGTTGATCAAATGATATTCGTTACAGTGTTTGTCAATTGTAAATCTCCAGATTTCGTACAAGAAAGCAGTATCTAAAACTATTCTATTTTATATGATGTATCAATGTATATACATATCAAAAAGAGTTCTATTCGTATTTTTTTTAATATTAATACAAATTTTAAATATATAATAATTTATACTTCATTGTTTTTAAAAGTAATTTTTAACTAATTAAATTGTTTCTTAAAATTATTTTGATTAGTCATTGGCCATTGGCAACCATATATTTATTCAATTTGAACAGCCGCCGATCGAGATGAAATTTGAAGGACGTTATGAGGGATGTAAAACTCCAAAGATATGAAATCTTGGTTTCGAGAATTCATTTTTTTGGAAGGTAGATCCTTCAATTTTACGAAATTTATTTATATATAAAATAATTAGTAACGTTAGGCCCAATGCAGACCACTGATTTGCGGCAATTTGTCGCAACAGTGATTCTTTTAAAAGATCAGAGATATAATATTCTCTTTATGAAACAAAAGAACTTTGTGTCACTGTTCTTCCAAAGCATCACCACCCTCAGACTGCTTGTTTACACCGAGCCTAACTCGAACGTCTAGAATCGGAGGCAGTTGTTTTCCGCCACGGGCCACACGAACTACTTACTCACAATTAGCCTAACCAGTTCCTCCACAATGAAAATTAATACCTACTCTGTTCCGCTGGCAGTACAAACTACTTTTCCTATCTTTAAGACATTGATGCATACTCCTAGGTTTCATAAAAACCTGCACCACAGTCAGCTTGCCTATACACTACCGCTTCTTCAGTTTTTTGTGTGACGTCAACGTTGAAACAACGTGTTGGATCGTCTTCCAGCACCAATATTACTTATAGTAATAGGAAGTTTATTATTAATTACATAAAATAGAAAGAAATTAAAATACTAAAAAGAAGTAGGCAAACAGATGGTTAATTCAAAGAAATGGATTTTCCAATTCCGTGTTATTAAAAGAGCTAAAGACAAATGAACCTTGTGATTATAGAAATTATCTGCGTATGAATGACTCTGCTTTTTATTATCTGTTGAATAAAATTCGCCCAAGGATTAAAAAAAATGTTGATATCACGCTCTTAAACATGAAGAAAGCACTGTTGGATCTTCCGTGGGCATTACTCTATGCTTTTATTGCGTACTTTACTATTTCAGTACAAATCACTATGCTACCATGTATCTTAATGTACAAGTCCTTTATTATAATAGTCACACAAAATACATATACACTTATTACACCTTTTACATTCTACATAAACTTTTTATACTTTTTATACTCTACACTCTACACGTAGCTGTACTTTCTACCCACATAACGCACGACTGATACATTTCTTTCTTCACTTCCTTTAGTTTACTCGATTCTTTTGCTGCCTAATATATATATACACAATACCAACAGTTAATCTAATAGAACGTAGGATGGCGACACCCATCCGTGTCCTGTAGTAATTATGATGATAAATAAATTAATATCACAATACTACAAATAAATAATAACTCCGTAATTAATTTTAGTAGTTTATATAAAAATATTATCAATATAACAAAATATATAATTACTAATAATAAATATCAAATAACGAAGATTAAATAATGAAAGTTAAATAACGAATGAATAATTAACATGATGATTGCAGTATATATGTTTCTGTAAATATTTCCATGGTGATAATAAAATTACTAACAATTTTTAAATATTCTATTGTTTATATTAAATACTCATCTCGACGGAACGATTTAATGAACATAGATGTCGTTGATCTAAATTCTTCGAAATAGAGGTCGCTACAGTCCCACCACAATACAAATAAACTATATACCTAACAAAAAGAAATACAGTCACGAGAGATGCAGTTAATGCAAAGAAAAGACTATTTACAACACTAAGGTTTTTAGCAATTGGAAAGAGTTACGAAGATTAATTTGTTAATTAATTGATGTTTAAGCATCTCAATATCAAATCTAATCTTCTTTCTGTTATATTATTCCACGAACAATTTATAAATATTTATAAACTCCTCCCAATATTCTCATTTTGTCTGTACATCTGTCTAAATTGTATGTTTGTTTTGGTTGAGTCGCCCTCGGAGTTTCGCTCGGAGTCTTGGTTCATCAACTGAACCGAGACTCCGATTCTTGCATCAAAACCACCTTGAAGGCGAGGAGTGACACTGATTTTTTTTGCCGTCCTTCCGGAAAATTGATAACTGGTACCAATTGAATTCGATTTTTTCTCCAAATTTAAATTATAAACATAATTTGTGTATATTTAATACTATTCGATTTTACTCATAATTTCAAAATTAAAAGTTTTATCTACATATGATTGTTCAAAATTAAATTAGTACAAAAATATAATAAATAGACTATGAAACAAATAATTTGTCGAATTTAATAAATTAATAAAACAACGATTGAACTGATATTAAAATATATCATACTGTATATCATTGAATATTTGTTATAAATATTTATGACAAATTTCATTGCGATGTTTTTTATGAGTCAAGAGTTATTTAAAAAATGTCGCGAAAACTTTTGATTCGACCCGTTATGACAGTCGTACCGACGAGGATAGCGAAATCCGAAAAACGGACATTCTATGCTATGTTCTAACGCTAAGAGTCTCATTCCTACATCAGTAATACATTGCTTCTAATGCCGATTCATCGATTCTGAGCTACATACATTGCAACGTGTATCATGAAGTTTAGGAGTAGATGCATGCATCGCCGCATGTTTCAACGTGTGTGGGAGTAGGAGGTGTGTGATCGCGGATCGCGTGACATTTAGTGGGACTATAAAAAAACGGCGAAGTTCTCAAATATAAAATTTTAATTTCAGCTAGTTTCTAAGATATTAGAAAATTAAAAAATAAATTTAAATTCTACGTGTATAAACTAACATAATGGTAAAAATTTGAGAAATCCTAACATTTCATCTTCTAATCCTAATAATCAAGTTTAATAGGATGGCAAAATGTAAGATGTGATTAAAAATAGGAAAATTTGATGAATTTTCTAGGCCATAGTGGATTTTCAGCCATGAAAAGAATTTTCAATATTGTGAGACGTTTGAATTTTTACAAATTTTGAAAATAGAAATTTTTTAATTTCTTACTTGCTACATAACATAAAAATTAAAAAAAAAAAAAAAACAAAGGTTAAGGATAATCAAAAGCAAAAGCTTTATATTTTAAAAAGAATTCAAGTAAAGTGCTACATGAGTTTTTTTACGAAGTTATAACAAGACTTACATTTTTAATTATTCTAAAAATGTAATAATTCAAATTATCCGGGTGAGAGTATTTGACATTTCGAAATTGAATCAAATCGGATAATTTTTATCGAGCTTGAACGAATAAAGGGTGCCTGCGTACTAAGACTCGAAGACAACGAACAATCATGCAGCCGTCTATTTTGCTAGTTTCATCGTTTCATGGTCCGATCGGTAAAAGAAAAATATGGCAATCATGTCAAATTTTTAGACTTGGTAACTATGCTTTCATCAAAAAATCCTAAACTGTCCCTTTCCAAATTTGCTTTCCATTTGTCATTCTGCACGATGACAGTCGTGATGAAGGCAATCGGAAAGAGAATGAGAATGAGCAGTACTCAATATCATTTTGAATTTGTATAAAATTTCAATAACGTATGTTAAAATAATTTTCATTAAATTTTTAACAAAATTATACAAAAATTCCGTAAAATATACTGTAGAATCCACGTGTTTCTAGAAAAGATAGGCTGCTGTCTTATGTTAAACAATTGTCAACAGGAGAGACTGAACAGGTAGTTTAAGCACTTTAACAGCGAGCTATCGAACAATTTGGATAAACTCTTTCGAATATACGTCAATTATAAATGTATCTTATAAAATCATTTTACGAATCTATTTTATATATTATATTAATTCTCGTACAATGAATCAGATTATTCTGTTCACTTGACTGCAATAGATTCGTACTGTTTTATCATGAAATTCAACCCCTTTAATAAATGTTTCGTTCTGCAAAAAACTTCTCTAGATTAAATGATTGGAACGAAATGATTATTCGGATGATCAAATTTTAATTGTTATGCTCCATAAAAATATCGACAAAGATATGAGTCCACAAAAATATTATTTTCACGTTAAAAATGGTCTTGAAAACAATTCTTTCCATTTTCAAACACCAGAAACTTTGCTATTTTGCTATTTTTATTCTTTATCTTACATCTTGGAATGTCTTGGGTGTTGGCATCGTCAACTGTATTTCCCAAAAGTTCTTTTAGTCTGTAGAGATGCAACATGTTGTTAGGCTTGAAGGTATTCACAGTCAAAGACAGTGACTTTTCCGAGAGTACTTCTTGCCCAGCTCGAGTCTGTTTTCTTTCATCGCAGGTGAAAAAATAACCGGTCTTTTCAGGTTTTTAGTAGCTTTCCAGAGTGAATAATTCTCGTATTCTTGTCGGGTAAAAGATTAGATAGATAAGATCGTTAGGCTGGATGGTCACACCCATCCTAACAATGTTCCGCACTCTGCTTGCTTAAACATCGAAAACCGCTGGGACTTTGACGCTAGGCGCACAGCCACTTGTATTTGAGGAATCATAGGCCGCTAGATTTATTTCTTTGTAGGATGTATTCAGGATAAATATAAAAATATGGTTTAGCCGCGACATATGTCGTAGCTGCCCTCACTGCAATTTTACGTTGATAAGGTTTGTTACTGCTGTTTCGATCTGTTCTGGCGTCTTCAAGGACATATTATAACTTATGTTTTTCTCTATGTACTACTCTTTAAATTTATCTCAATTTGTACTATTGTCGCACGAAAAAAGAGTTTCTTTATTAAATACCGGTTTGTGCAGGTAATAGATCAATATCGGAGAGTGATCAGAGCTAAGATCAATTGTGTAACAAAATCAGTTTTGTGTAGTCCTTTGATTACTGCAAAGTCTAATAGGTCGGGTGTTTTCTCTTGTGCTGATGGCCAATATGTAGGTTCGCCAGTCGTCATAAGGATAATTTTCTTATTTGGTGTTTAGCATTATACTCTCCACCAGCGATGAATTTATTTCCTAGCGATTTGAAAAAGTCAGTGTATTGTTGTACAGATATTTGGTGTTTCGGAGGGCAATAGACAGCAGTATAGTGATGTTGCCATGTATTGTGTGGGTAATTATGGCTTGTGTGAGTGTCTGCGATTGAGTGTTGTGTATTATGTTTGATATCTTGTTTGATAATAATAACTGAACCGCCGCGTGCTCTGCCGAATGATATCATAATTGATATCATAAACATTATACGATGAGATTTCGCTATAATTCTTAACAGTGAAGTATGTTTCTGCGATGAGCATTACATCGATTTTGTTATCGTGTAGAAAAGTTTTCAATTCCAGTATTCTGTATTGTAACCCGTTTGCATTCCAGATTGCGATTTTTAGTGTATCCATTGTTGTTTGTTGTTAATCATGAGTGTAAGAAGTTCTATCATTTTTTGTTAATTTGTGTTGATTGTTAGCTTAAGAGTTTAGTTTTTTCGAGAAGCATGTTAATTATTTGTTCTGTGTTTTTGGCTGATGTTATTAGTAATTTTTTTATTTCTGACATGTCTGATACTGATTCTTGGTTTCGTGTGGGGGAAGACATTTCTTCCTGTGATTGAACTATTTGTGCGTAAGTCTTACAATTAGTGTTTGTGTTGTGTTGTTGGCTCGGGAGAGCGTTTTTGTTTCTGTGACAGTTTGATTTTGGCAAGTTAAATTTTCTGAAGTTATTTTGTGTCTAAGTCTAAGAAATAGCTTTTGTTGTGACTGTTTCCTATTAATATAGCCTTTGTAACTAGCAGAGTGATTTCCCTGACAGTTATAGCATCTGACTATTTTCTATTTTTTCTTCGGGGGCACAGTTTCTTGCTATCACACTGACACTGATATATATAAATGTGCTAACACTTGTACACACACAAATAGCAAATTGCTATTTTTTTTTTTTTTTTTTTCAAACGAAATTCGCACCTTAAAATAGTGCAACTTTATCTCGAACATTTTCTACATAAAAACAAAAATACAGTAAAGATTTAAAAGCCGCATCCTGTATAAAATTTTCATTTCAAAAAATATCAATTAACATTGTGACCATAATATTATTTTATGTATAAGAAAAAATTCAACCGTAGAAAAGAAAGTCGTAGAGATCCGAAAACTTTTGTGAAAAATCACACTACACGATGGTAGAATTTCTTAAATAATGTCTTGTTACTAAATTTGCATTTATTTATTATGATTATATGATATATGTATATTACTCGTAATTACTTGTGTCGTCGGATTAAATTCAATAAATAATTTTCGGTACAGAAACGGCAATATTTGTCCATATTTTTTGATTCTAGTTTCTATCGCTACTAGGACTGTAGTGAAATACTTGCCTAAGTCAATACCACAGAACGTGACACAAAAATGGTAAGAGGGTCGTGATCCTCAAAATGTGGGACACGAAAAAGCATTGGATGTCCAGTATATCCTGTTAGTCAACGATGCAATGTATTTTTTCGGTCACGATTTTGCAGTCCTCTGGACTACATTATCATTTTTGTGTCACATCTTCTCATCATACCACTAGTAATGAAAATTAAAATCACAAATTATGGACAGTGTTGTCAGATCTGTTTTGAGAATTATTTATCGAATTGAACGTAGTGGTACTTCATCAATAGAAAGGAATATAATGATTTTAAACAGAGATTGATGAAAATTGGAATGAAAAATTATATATTTGAAAAAAGTATATATTTGACTATTAACATCTATTTAAAAGTATTAAAAAAAATTAATTGAAATATAATATTTTAATGAACAACATACTTAGATATGATGTTTTTTTATTTACAAATGTGTAAATTCACAGCCTGAACGAATTACCTTTATCTCGCAAATTCGATTTTATGAAAAATTGGACTTGTCATAAAAATATTTCTACAAATATTATTTGGCATAAGAAAGCATATTGTGTGTTGTAAATTATTTCTTACAAATCGTCCATTTCGAAATTTCGTAGGCAAATTCATTTTCTTAAACGATATACATATTTTCTTTTCCACAGTACGAATTCATTAAGTTGCATTTGATTTAATGATAAATGTCCTTTTCCTCCAATTGTCTCGTTCTGATTGCTGGTGAACTTGTAAATTAATCATTTCTTCACTGATTTCGACTATCATCAAATATCATTTAGAAATCGATACCCCGAACAAGTTTTTCCCCTAACAAATAAAGTCCAACAATCCGACATTGAAGAAAAAACTGTTCAAAATGTCGACCTTTGCAATATATTCAAAAATTATCGGTGAGGGAATAATCAGTCTACACATTTCCCCAATTGCCTTCGTATTGTGCATAAAAGAAAAGCGACTTAAAGGGACACAACCAAGTTTCGGTTTTCCTGACAAAAGCGTAGTTGTCAGGAAACCTAAAAGTCTCACATGGCTGCCATATTTCTGTTGCATATTTTTGTCCGTCGACTCGATGAAATAGTTAAACTAGCGAAATAGGTGAGTCAGAGAATTTTCCTTTTCGTGTCTCCAAATCCGCCCGAACTCAACCAAAATTATCCTTATACCTCGTCTGTGATATGGATATATACATAGTCAGTTAAAAGTTTTTGCACACATTCTGTGTGTAAAATACGTACATATCAATATCTAATTTCAATAGTGATTTTTTTAGAGCATAGAGCTGGAATATTTTACTACATTGTGTATAGAGAATGAATACGTCGATTGTTACATAATGAAGTCAAGAAGTATGAAAATATATAGTTACATACAAACCATTTTTACCATTATTGTATGTACGCATATTATTGCATCATATAATAATTTTAAAAATAATTGCAACCTTTTTAATTGTGCACCGTAATGGGATGGAACTATTAAAAAAAAATTTTTCAAATAAATTGCAAATAGATTATTTCAATACATTATTTACCATTCGAGCTACTTTATTCTTCCACTATAAATGTACGATTTGTAAAGATCCGAAATTTGAAACACGACTTAAGCACGATTCATAATTATAATATTTACCAATTACATATTAGATTGTTGCATATGAAATGGCTGCAAGTGTGCAAAATCATTCAAAATTTATAGTGACTAGAAGTGTTATTAAATAATATCTGTTAGACACTGATTTAGAGTTCGAAACTTGACACAATCGACATTGCGTTAACTTTGACAGAATATGTATAAAAATTTATGTATCATGAATGATTATCCAATTTAGATATTTTTGAGAAATTTTTATAAAATTTGAAACTTTGATCTTATGAAGTAAAAATTACTTGTAATAATATAAAATGGTCCGCTGCATTAATTCTGTTACGATCCTCATTGTCAGATTTATATATTTCAATTTTACTTTCATTTCGAGTAATAAAATGAATTTATAATTTTTAAGTTTTAAGAAAATATGTTAAGAAATATGTTTTACATATTTGATTCGCACTTCTTGATGTTAAAAAAAATAAAAATGAATTGAAAATGAGTAAAAGAGAGAATCTGTCATTCGTGTGAAAAATTTAGAAAATTTAGAAAAAATACAAATATAAAAAATGAATAAAAAACTTGTCAACAATGATCGATTAAAGATTGCAATTCCAATAATTACATTTAAGTATATTTATTTGTATGTAATTTATTACTTAATGGTATTTAATAATTATAATATATATCAAGAATAATACGAGTTTTGAAATTTTTATTAAAAATTTAGACACTTCAATCAACTTAATATTACAAATACCAGAGAAATGTTGTTTAAAGGTATACAAAACTATCTTCTTTTTATTTTACTTTTCTAAGATCATGGTCATATACAATTTATCATTTCCATGTATGTAGAGAAAGTTAATTTTTTACTTTAATAATTGAATTACCTTGTTTATATCCACCACTGCGCCAACATCCCTTTGAATTAAGTGTATGCCCACCAATGTTAGAATCATCAGAAACGTGACTTTTTACCTCACGGCTGTCACTTATTTCGGAGCCATATCCTGTTTGCAAAAGAAAAAAAAGCAGATTAAGAATATTTATGAAATATCTATTCGATGATTACGAAATTTGTCAGAAAATATATCGTTACTTTTTTATAAAATATCGAATTTGCAGTTTATCAAGTGCAAGGAATAAGACAATACTATTATTTATAATAGTCTGAATATAATATTATTATTATAAATGATGTAAATAATAATATTATTAGATTTATAACCATTATAAATAATTTTAGCATTTTTATACTGTATAAATAACCATATTTGTAATAGTATAATTATAATAATAATATTATATTAATATAACATCAGTATACGAGGTGTGTCTAAAAAGTAAAAAATGAGACTGGTTTTATAAAAGTGTTTATATTTCACTTATTGATAAATTTACATTATTTCTTTCAAAATAGTTCCCTTGAATAGCTATACACCTTCGGAGACGTTGTTCCTTCTATTGATAATAATGCTGGAACTCTTCTATTGAAACTGCTTTCAGCGGTCGGTTATAATCATTTGAATGATAATTACGATTCCAAAATGACGACTCGTGAGGTAATTTTTTTATCTTTGGAAAGAGGAAAAAGTCACATGGATTCAAATCTGGGAATTTGATTCAGTTTCCAGCTGTTTAAGGAGGTCCACACACACACAGATTTGCGTGTCTCCATCTACTCCTCTGTGAGATCCTTTGGAACCATCTTCGAACAAATTTTTCAAATTCTAGGTTAAAATGTCGTGAACAGTTTGATGATTTAAATTTAATTCACTACCAATCATTCTAACCGTCAAGGGACGATCTTATCTAATCAGTCTTCATTTTTTCGACATTTTCTTCAGTTTTTGAAGTGCATGGGTCTTCCAGAACGAGCTTCATCTTCGACGGTTTCACGGTCATTCAAAAATGCCTTGTGCTACCTAAAAACTTGTGTCCTGGATAAAACTTGATCACTGTAAGTAAGTTTCAATTTATTAAATGTTTCTGTTGCATTGTCTTTAAGTTTAACACAAAATTTAATCGCATAACGCTGTTCGATTTTCGTAACGCGTCGCTAGAACGTACTCTTATAAAACTCGCTGCCGAATCGATTGTGTTAACTCAATTGAACTGAAACTTATACTGGAGATAGAGTAGGGCTGTACGTCTCAAGTAGCAAAGCGGCACTCATACCAAAATACTGAGAATAGAGACGAGTCTCATTAGTTTTTAGACACACCTCGTATATGTATAATAGTACGTATCAACTGAATATTATGAATATATAATGAATATTATGAATATACTATTTATGCATTGATTTTATAAAATACCATTATAAATCTTTAAGAATGTATTATTGTAAATCTGAAGAATTTTTGTAAAATATTGCTAATTGTTCATTTTGATTATGTTGGTAGTATTAGCATTGATTGAAAGTGTGCTAAATAAATCTTTATGTGAGGTTTTCATTCAATTAACAAATTAATAAATGTACCAGAAACTGAACTAGCTCCACTAGTTTTGCGTGGTGAGAGGATGCTTCGTTTTTTATCGTCCACGTGCAGTTGTGAATTTGTCGTATTTTCTCCCAATACATCCAAAGATCTGAACAGATACATTTATATCTACTTACAAAAGACGAAATTTCAACGAATCCTGAGACCAAAAAAACATTAAACCATATTCAGAATAGCATCATACAATAAAACTGTATCAGTTCTATAAGATATTGCACATATATAGTACATGTAAATATAATTCATTATATCAGGTCTGTCGAACTAACTAGCTCATATCACTCTTTGCGAGAAAGAGCCGCCCTCATACCTACATATGTACTTTACTCTGTTTCTTTTTTTTTTTTTTCAGGATGCTGCAGGAGCCCTTCCATTCCCACCCACTTTTCGCAACAAAAATTAAAAATATCTTTATATAGATTCTTTTTAAATTGTTCGAAAAGTTGTACAATTAAAAGTTATAAATTCAGTTGTAAAGTATGAAAAGTTGAATTATGGATTATGAAAATGTATCGCCGTTAACATATATATATATATATATATATATATGAAAGGAGGTTATAAAAAAAAAGTGTTTGATAAAATTAAATGAAATTGGTTAATGTAATGACGGTTAGTTTGTACACGGTGGAAGAACTAGTTAGAAAATTAATAATTAGAAAATTAATCAATCAAGCATTGTCATGAGAAATTGGAAATAATATTATGTAATGTACCATAATATATTATATAATATGATAAAATATATTATAATATAAAATTATATTGTTCGATATTAGATGCAGTTTAATGTTCTTGTAAAATTATATATTAGAGTTTAAAATTAATATAATTTGAACATTACAATAATATTTATTATTTTATTTCTCTAATTTGATTTCTATTATTGTTAACTTGTAACTACTGCAAAATAAATAAATAAGTAAGATAATGTTGGATACATTCAGTGTTACAAATTATGAGATGTAGAAATTAATTCCGTTAGTACATTTTAGATTATTCGTTTATCGACAAACTGATAACAAAACAATTAGTTAATAGTTATATAACTAGAGATCTTCATATAAAATTTCGAAATAGTAGTAAAATTCATATAATTAATTTGACTATAAGAACATTAACAAAATTAAAGTTATATTAATATTAATTAATAAATATTATGTAAATTATTATAAATGTCATAATATATTACTAAATATAATAACAATAAAATATTACTTTTTATTTATTTAACGAAAACCTTAAATATTCACCATTGCGGGAACTTCCTTTACCAATTGAGAGTTAAATACACGTTACTAGAAATTACACGGATTAAAACATAGATTCATTTACTATACATATTGCAATTGCCCGTGTATTATTAATAAATTAAAATAATAAATTCGTGTATTATTTATAAATTAAAAAGTAATGAAGCTTACACGAGGGAATCAGTAGGCATCTCAGCATCAGGTGGCTCAGCTTCATAAAGCGCTTTCTTCAAGGTTTCTATCACAGAGACACTATCGATGAACACTCGATGCGTTGTCAGAAACGTATTGAGATAATCGATACTAAGAAATCTCAGATCCATCAGACGTTGAAGTAGACGTTCAGGTGTGGCTAATCGAACTTGCGGGATCTTGCAGGAATTTAAAGTCTTGCTGAATTTGATGTCGACGTCATCGTTGAATAATTTCGAATCGTTTTCGATAGCTTCAGGCATCGTGACAGAACTAGAGTCCGACCACAATCCTTGAAGTAAATCGTTCAAATGAACGTTATCCATACAGTGGCTGATATCGCTTATCCAAGCAGCTTTCTCCTGTGTTTATTAATCGAAATTTTCATTCAATTTTTCTTTCTTTGTAAATTAAAAATATAAAATATCATTAACTTCATTTCCATCCTCATTTCCATCAATTTTCATTAATATTTCGATTGTTGTAAATGAAACATATAAAACATCGTTAATTCCTTAAGAACAGAGACTAAGTTGTAATTTTTTTTTCTATGTGTAAAAAATGTTTTTAATATTATTTTTAATATTATTATTAATATTATTACTAATATTATAAAATTTCACTATGTAAGATTATACAGCAAAAGCTCAATTTTCTTTTTGCTTAGTCAGTAATTCCTTCATCGTTGTCTTTCATACAAAACTCTACATAGATTTATTGAATTTCAAGTATTTAAAACAGGAAAACATTGTTTCAGACATTTTATGTGTTTTATTTAATTTATTAGTTGAAACTAGATAATTTTCTGAAATATTGATAATTTATTTGAAAAAATATATAAATAAATTGGAAACTTACAATTACTGTACGTACGAATAAAACGTATATTCTAATTACTATTATTGTAATAATAATAACGACATATTTCCTACATTTTAATGTATTTAATGTAGATTTTGTGACTTTTTTCCCAATGTATTTATATATAATTTTACTCACAACGAAATTAGTAGTTATAAAATGTTCCAAACTTTTTCTTTAAATAATTAATAGTTAAATTACTGTCTATAAAATATTCAAATTGATTTTCTTTAAATACTTGAAATTTACAAATTATGTGCAGGTTTTCGTAACTAACTGAAAAACTGACTGTACGATACATAAAAATCTTTCTCGTTAAAGAAAACAGTAAATGTGTAATTGTAAATTAAAGAAGGTGTCATGTCTATGATAATACAATTTAGTGCATATAATTTTTGTTATAATTAGACTACGGATTTTTATGCAAATTTTTATTTTCGTGAATTAAAAATATTTAATCTCGATAGGAAATTGTTTTACATATTAAATATTATAATAGTAGAAGATTAAAGTATAAAATTTTCAGAGACATTAAAGTAAAAAAAATAGAAAAGCTTTATAATACAAGTGGAGTGTAGAAGCTGTTATTTATACATTTTACAAAAAATCTTTTAAACCTTCAAAAATACACTTTTAGATCTATAAAATTTCTAACAGAAATTATATTTTGGTCATTTTGACCACTTTGACAGTTTTATGAACGTTAATATTAATATCACGGTGCAACATTGAATTTTCAAATTTCTCATAAATGCCAAAAAATCTCCAGTCTAATTATAACCGAGTGGTAATCTCAAATAGAGATCTACGTTACATTCCTCCAATTTCTCCACAAGTTTCAAATACAGAAAATGCTCCTTTTCTTTTCTTTTATATCAACTTCTGACTTCTGAATATTTGTAACTTGCATACACTAACAATAAAACAATCTCCGAAGATTGTTGAGTCAATTTCGACCAAAATATAAGATAAACGCTCCGAGATCTATTCCTCTATTCGAGATCGCCATTCAATTGTTCAAGATTGTATCTACCTGAATAGTAGGAGCTACGAGATGTATGGTAACTTGAGGTCCGCCACATTTCACGTCGAATATAATTTTGAAGTCACGGTTTTGCAGTTGTGTACTGATACTTCCGCTACCACTTCCACTACTCTCACTCACACCACTGGACATCGAACATACTGAGAGTTCTAAAATCAATTCGCAGTCACGGCAATACTACATTAATTATGCGTAACGTATTTGATTTGGTATACTTTAGCAGAAGACAGATCATCCATGGTTTGGATGTAAACATTTGCAAGTATTGCAAATAAATGCAATAATAAAATTAGAAATAGGACAGAGCATTCTATAAGAAAAAAGAGGTTTACTTAGAAATAAAATAAAAAGTTTATACTATACAACAAATTATATAATACAATAGAAATAGGATACTAGTTAATCTCTCAGCTATATATATATATTGTAAAAGTAAAGCGACGACGAGTCAAACACAGTAAAGCGTTACTTGTCAAACGCAGAGTAAACTGCATTTACTGTAAAATTGAATTAAATTATAACAATATGTAGTTGGTTTTTTGAAAAATTCACAAATCATTATTAATAAAACTTAAAGAATCATAGTTTATATATTAAGAAAAAAGAAACAAGAAATATTAAATATTGGATTTTAAATATATATATATTTTGAAGAATTATAATTGCGTACTAACAGTATGCAGTAATAACAATTTAAAAATTTACGAACAGTTTTCAGTTTTTCGAAGTAAATGGATTAAATGGATTAGCAGGTTTTTTAATAAAATCAATAATTTTATTGGTAATTTTCTTATTGAAAAGAAAAACAGGAAAAATTAAATATATGAACAAAAAAGAAATTTAAATTTCCATACCTTTTTTGTTTTAGTACACATTTTAGTACACATTTTTGTTTTAATAACAAAAAAAATTACAAAAATTAAATATTGAATTATTACTTAAATATTAAGCAACTAAATAAATATTTTAAATATTCTATTTAAAAATATATTTTAGAAGACGATAATTTTATACTGTGCAATATTATTAATTTGTTGTGAACTTTTAAAATTTCTTTCCTTTTTTTTATTAAAATTTTCTAATCTTGTGTTTTAAACAATAATAAACTATTTGTTAGTATAAAACACAAAATTACCATTTCTTCATACACAGTTAATAGACTGAAAATAGAATAATACACTTATCTTCATACACAGCTAAATAGACTTAAAAATAGAATAGACAGTTTACTATTAGGAGCTAGGAGCATTCTAATTGATCAGAAATGTAAATAATAACTCGAAAGTTTTGAAACAAAATAATATAATATTTTTTGCCACTGCTAGAATTTCCTAAGAATTTATATTTAATTATAATAATAGATCATGCACTAAGTGAAAAAGATTAAACACAATCGATCGCAGTAGTTTTATAGTTTTAAAAAGCCTTATCTGACAGATAATACTGTAATACCATCATCATCCGCGATACTCGGTTCGTTAGGATCTTCCACTAACACTGCATCGGAAAGTGGTATTTTTCCGATTTGTGGGACAAGATTCAAACGACCATCGCCGTTTGATTGACGCGTCGTTAGTAACAAGTGATTAGAAAAGAGGAAGCACTGCCTGATTGTTTCCTTATCACCACTTCTACCACCGAAAGTCACGTTCAATTTATTTCGTGCTCCTTTTGGCTTATCCAAGATTTGAATGAGTGTACCTGAAAAAGAATAATGATACGTTACTGATGACACGGAAAAAATATTCGAAAGTATTAAACTAATTTAAGATTGATTAAAATGATCGATTCTACTTTCGTAATTTTTCAGTAAGAATTTTGTGAATTTATAATTGTGCTTTTTTTAGAAATTCGGATGATTTTCATAAATTATATACAAGATACGGTATTTAACATACATAAATATTTTTGTCATATTCATAGTTTTAAAAGAAAATTACACTATTTTATGAAGCATATGTAAAATTAACCAATAAATTAAGTTAAAAATTACACTTTTGTGTAACACTTCGTAAAATATTTAAAACTAAATCTGGCTTTATTGTAGAGAAATAAAATGAAGGAATAATAATTGTAATAACATAATCTAAAACAAAAACCACATTTCTTTTAATACTAAATTGATGTACACGTATTTAATTAATAAAATTAAATAATTATATACCATTATTTATTAATAATGAAGAAAATAATGACATAAAAGAAAATATAAGTTATATTGGTAAATAAACTTCTTTTAATTTTGATAATAAATAAATAATAACAAATAAAAATATTGGTAATAAACTTATTTTGGTCTTACGCCAGTCGTCAATTAAAGACGAATTTTAAAAAAAGTCATTTTTACCAATTTGTACAATTATTCTATCAAATCTTAATTCTCTCAGATTACAAATTACAATTGTTACAATTTTTCTATGTACTAGAGCAACAACATTTTTAAATATACTAGTAGCTTTATGAAATTTTAACTCTCCCAGATTACAAATTACAATTATTAAGTTTGTTCTTCGTACTAGAGTCGAACTACAGTATTATATTCTCAAATGTATCAATAATTCTATTAAATCTTATTACAAATCTTATTGCAAATTACAATTATTGTAATAACAATTTTTTATTATTGTTGTATTATTTTGTATTATTGTAATAACAATTTTCCAATATATCACCTAAAACTATATTTAATGAAATGATATATGTAAAAATCTCAATAAAATATATGTACATATTGCTTTTCAATTGAAGCATTTTTTAGCATGAAAACTTATTTTATAAATTTAAGACGCTATTATGAAAATCTGAAATATCATCTTAAAATATTTGTGACAAAAAACAATCTATCGTTTTTATTAAAAATTCAATCGGACCAAAAGTAGTGAAAAAGAAACTTATTATCTGGATACATATTATTTTAATTAGTACGATATACATGTGTGAGTTTGCTCAGACGGTATAATGTACAATAATATAGGTACATATATAATAAATATCATATTACTATAAGTCTGGGATAGTTCGGCTGCTTTTTGAAAAAATATTGTACAATCGTTGTTTTTTCATATTTATTTCATAGTTCATATCTATTTTATATTTCATAGTTATTTTGGACAAATTTAGGTATCTATATTGTTTCGGATATAAATAAATCATATTCTGCGATAAATTAAAATTGTTTATTTTAATTTCTAACAACAAATGGTTCGTTTCACCCACATTTCCGGATTAGATCCGTTTGCTCACTATAATTAAGACCAACCTTGAAGAAAAGCAAGATATGCAATTTATAAAAAATATAATGAATGAGGAAATTAATTGATATGTCTTTTTTCTTTTTTTTTTCCGCATAAATCGCAAATATTTTCGTACTTGATCATTTATCATGAAGTCAATGGCTTCTTGAAATTTTGAAATAGTTTTCTTCGCACTTTTTAAGGAATTAGTCATTTAGGCCTCCTATCATTTTTTTCTCTTATGAATCGTAGATATTTCTTGTTAATTTATAATAATATTATCATATATGTTTATCTAATATCGAATTATATCGAATTTATATCAAAATCACGGCAATAATACAGTAGCCCGACTATTTCGAGTAGTTTGTCTATTTCGGATCGAGTTGGAAAAAATTCAAATGGGATATGATAAGGATTATATTGCGTTATCGAAATCAATTATTCATAATACTTAATATACATATATTTTTTTTTCTTCAAATGTAATAATATTTACTCTAAATGATAATGTAAAAAAGACAATTGCTCAACATTTTGTGACATTAATTTCGCTCGAGTTGGTATTATTATATTTCCGGATAAGAAAAATAGTCTTTCACTCGTAGTATGAGTGGCAGGAACAAGTAGAACAAGAAATTTTTTTGCAGCTAAAGACAATAGTGGGAATCTGGCTGTATTGCATTTCCACCAACTAATGTCTATGTTTCTAGCACTAAAACCATCGGCGAAATACATACAGTGACTCTTATTAATATTCGGACATCATGCTATTCAAAATATTGTTGTGGACTTCGATTGTTTATAATAGTAAGTTTGGATTAATNAACTATAATATTTAAACCTGAAAATTGTTAACATAAACAATAATTAATATTTTGTTGGGTAGCCCTTAACTTCAATTACATATCGCAGACGTCTAGGCATACTTCCAGTAATTTTCTTTAAGTAATTGAGCGGGATATTCTTCCGTTTATCGATTAATCGTTGTTATAACTGGTCTTTCGATTGACGTATGACAGTTAGTTATTTTTCACCGAGAAAAAGGAAAAACGTATCGAGAAATCGGTCATCTTTTAAAATTAAGTAAAAGAATACCGTGGCTGATATTGTACGGAGATATAATGATGAAGACCGAATTGAATCAATTCCTCAGAAAGGTCGGCCATCGGCTAAACTTAACGACCGAGACAAACGCATTATTCTAAGAAAAATAAAAGTGAATTCTGATTAATTAAGTGCTCCTAAGTTAATTTCAGAAGTATATTTATCAATGCGAAATACATTGGATAATATTGAGAGACAGTTGAGAATATGTCCCCCTGGAACTTTTTCCAACTCGATCCGAAATCTTCAGGCTGCCCGCCCGAGTTTGTGTGAGCCCGATCCGAACCCGAAATTTCAGGTACCCGCACACCCCTATATTATCATTATTGGTATCACGTGTATCGCTTGTGTGTGCAAGTGTTAGTACGGGATTATAGGAGAGCGATGAATAGAAAGGAAAGCTGTAAGGCTAGCAGAGTGGTGCGATGTGTTTATAATGACGCGGAGAAAAGCAAGAAGCGACAATGCTACAGCAAGCCATTCTTCTCAGTATGTCTCAAAATGTCTTCGATGAAGCAGCAAAAGCTTGTAGAAAATATTGCAATTAAATATCACATATTAATGTCTATCGCAAAAAACAAGATCAGAAGATAGAAAAAAAGTAAATAGTAGAAATAATAAAAAAAAATAAAAAAAAATAATACATAATTAAAAAAACAGAAATAATAGATATATAAATACTTCGATCTTCAATTGAATGCTATTGAATACCGTAGAATGCTACCGAATGCATCCGAATGTTGCCGAACGCGTTGGTCTCCGCTAGTAGAAGCAAACTTTTTTGATTCTAGCCGAACCGCCATAGACACTTCCATTACATTACATTGGTTTGTTTTGTCGCGACGCTCAGATCGCTACTATCCTCGTTCTTCGCCGCTCCACTATAATCATTTCACACCTTACGTTTCACACGGCCGCACGGTAAAGTAACGTAGAGTGGGGATAGTTCTAATTCCAAGAATTGGTGGTAATAAGCGCTGGTCAGTTACGAGATCCAAAATATGGTCAGTACGTGAGCTACTATACTACTGTATTTAGCAATGTGCAGGTATGATTTCTTGTATAATTGTCTGATGAAAGAACGGTTTAAGATTTCTTGTCGGGATGAAGAAATTTATTAATTTATTTTAAATTCGACCGGACGCGGAAGGAGCAGGACGTCCAAATACTACCTGTGTTGTATCCATAATAAGCCACACAAAAACACATAGGCACAGCAGTTCATTCTAATACTAGTATCAGATAAACCAAATTCTCATCACACGAATGGAAAATAGTGGAATTAAGTTTAAGGGTATCAGTGTATCAGAGTGGCAATAGAACAGTGAACCCAAGTGAAGTGAGTTAAAGAAAATAAAGAACAAAAAAAAAACGATCAAGACCACCACCAAGACCTGAAAACAGCCAGCGACCCGGCGAAGGCCGGACCTAAAACTCAAACACAAAATCCAGAGTTTATATTAAAAACACCAAAAATACTACTTAAGCTAACAAAAGAAAAATTAAACATGTCAGATAGTGAAGAAACTATCGATTATGAGGACTACGAGACGACACCTCGTACATGGAAACAAACGCAAACAGCAAAGCTAAAGACCAATGGAAAATACAAAAGTAAACCAAAAAAAAGAAAAATAACTCTGAATACCAAAAACGCAACTACAGCCCTAATTCTAAAACTAACTAAAATACACCCGAAGGAAAATTGTCTTGGAGAAATACCAATAACGAATAAATTTCAGGCACTCCAAAAGCTAACAAAAAAAAAAAAGAAACTATCACCACCTCACAACCCAAACCACCTCCCATATACATCGAAGTTCCCAATATCAATCCACTAATAGAAAAACTAAACGAAATAGTAGGCCCTACAGAATACACTCTAAAGCAATTGAAAGACAAACAAATCAAACTACAAGTACAAACCCCCAACACCTATAGAGCCATGATGCGAACGCTAAAAGAGAAGAATGCAGAACATTATACATTCCAACCAAAAACAGAACGAAAGTTTAAATTCGTGATAAAAGGATTACACCCAAAGCTAAATATAGAATACATTAAAACAGACGTACAAGAGAAAGGACATAAGGTAAGTAATATCATTAATCTCACAAAAAGTGGTACGACAATCCCAATCCCAATGTTCCTGGTAGAAATAGAACAAGCCAATAATAATAAAGACATATACAACACATCAATCGTATGTAATACCAAAATCAATATAGAACCGCCAAGAACTAACAAAGAAATACCGCAGTACGCCAGGGGTATGGACATACTAAGAACAATTGCAATAAACAAGCAAGATGTGTCAAATGTGCAGGTACCTGTCCTACCGAAAACTACCCACTGGGCAAA